AAAACCTGTCTACACTGAACCCTGTGAAACTGGAAACCTGTCTACACTGAACCCTGTGAAACTGGAAACCTGTCTACACTGAACCCCATGAAACTGAAAACCTGTCTACACTGAACCCTGTGAAACTGGAAACCTGTCTACACTGAACCCTGTGTAAACTGAAAACCTGTCTACACTGAACCCTGTGTAAACTGGAAACCTGACTATAATGTACCCTGTGTAAACTGGAAACCTGTCTAACTGAAAACCTGCCTATACTGAACCCTGTGAAACCGGAAACCTTTCTAAACCCCAAACCCTGTGTAAATTGGTAACTTGTCTACACTGAACTATTTATGAAAAATAATTTGTTTTAATTCTTTCTTGACAGATGTGAATATTACAGTTAATAATAAAGACCAAATAAAAATCGATAAAGGTGACCTACCAAAGCCCTTATATAACAACTATCATGACACCGGCAAGGACATGATGCCAACTTTGTTAATTATGACACTTCTTGCTATTCCAATTGTTCTCATGGCATTGGTTACAGTGGTTCTCCGACTGCGTGCACAAGGAAAATTACGTGTACAGAATATCAAGTACTTTTTCAGTAATGGTTATCGCTCCACCAGTCATGGAAATGTCAACTTGGGATCGTTTTTCAACCGCCATAAAGGTTTCAGTAAAGTGAGTACAGAAGACAGTGATCATGATCACTTTAGTGAAGAGTCAGATGTGGATGAGTATACAGCTATGAATGTTGGGAAGTCACAGAACTTATAGAATTAATGTGCAGGCTGTGATTTACCTATTTGTCATAAAAGATGAGACATTCATGGTTGTGAACTATCAATTCCTTATAACAAATTACTGTCAGTTGTAAAAATGTTTTTCTTTGATGATTTATGTCTGTAAGTGGAATTCTTACTTTGAATGTTTGAAGAGCATCTAACCACTTTTTTAGCTGTAATTAAGTTAATATTTATGAATGTTCTAGTAGGTGGATAACGTACATAAATCTTCCTAATGAATAATGGTTGAGTCCAAAAACTGATTACAAGTATGTAATTTTTTCAGATTTCAGGGAGCTCCAAATAAATGTGCTGATCGACTGACAGATGTATTTTTGTTTTTTCCCTCATCTATCAATTTCCTGTAGCAGATAATTAATCTCCATTAATTAAATGTGAATTTTGTTAAAAAAATATATATATATGAAAATACACCCAAACTTTATTTTTAACAAGAGGGTGCAACTATACATATCCATATTTCAAGATTTACATTATTTTTGTGCAATTCATTGGATAGTAACCATAGTAACAATGATATACTATGCCAAATGATTTAGTTAGTGCTTATTTTAGCAAGAATGTTAGCTATGTTACTGCTAACATTAGCATGAAGGTGATAATTCTAGAAATATTAGTGCCAAGGTGAGCAACAAATTCAAAGGTGGCAATCATGCATTAAATTAAAAGGAGAACTTTCAATTCCTGGAGTTCTACCATATAAGCTATTTTCAGACAATTTTGTTTTATCTATGGTTTGTTTTGTATCAATATAGCACACAGTACTGGCCTGCCTATGTAATATTAGATTACCCTCTGTACTTTATACGACTTAGCTTATTGGCTGACATACAGCTCTGTCATTAGTGTCAATAATTGTGGTATATTGAGGTTTTTAAGAAAAGGCAAAAAATAGATTTGTGAAATACTGTAATGTTTAAGAGTTTAGATTGACTTAATGAAAGTATATGTTATTTTTATAGTGTATTTTGATAACTTGTTTCATTTTAATAGATAATACAGTCAAACCTGTTTTAGTGACCACCTTGGGGGGGGGGGGGGGTCAATGCAATTGGCACGTGAAGTACCGGTAACCTATATATTGTAACACCCGCCTCCCAAATTTGGCACCAGTTTGGTCAAATTGACATGTGTATATAAAAGGACAAAATGGCCAAAGACGGTCACATATCTAGTGTTTTCAATTAATCACAGTAAACATACATTTGTATTTATGCCCCATCTTCAAATATATGTTACCAAATTGTCTCTTAAACTGAGAATTTATCATATTATCAAATAATCCCCCTCTTTACAAATAACTTGAGTACAGTTTATTGAAGTTCCATTGGTTGGTCACTATATGCACACAGGTTTGACTGCATTTTTTTAATAACTAGAGATGTGCATATATTGTTAAATTATCAAATAAGATGTGTACTAAAGTTGACAGACATGATGATATATGCAAACGATAACAATTAACTGGAAGGCATCTTGAAAGATGTGTAACAGTAAATATATACCCTAGTAGTGAACTAGGGAGATTGTCTATTTACAAAGTGGGCTAATTTTCCACTCAAGTTTGTCACCGTTTCTGTGATCCAGATTATTTACACTTGGACACGTATGATGCATTATGGTTAATTAGAAAGTACTGTAAAACTGGAAATCTTTGCTGAATTTGTAATACCATTCTTGATAACCTTTCCTATGTCACAATGTTGAAAGAAACTACACCGAGGATGAAAGGTTGCATGTTAATTTTGAACTGAATATTCATCTTCAGACAATACTACCTGTACTTTCATAGTTGTTCAAAAATCTTTGCGGCAACACTGAACAATCAGCTCTGCAAATTAAGCAAATCTACAGTACCGGTATGTAGCATTATAGGTAAACCAACGCAAGAGATTTTGTTGTTTTATAGATTAATTTGAGCAGCTTCATTCTGCCATTTGTGTTTGGATCATTTGAGATGGATGTACAGTTATTGACTTTATTTCTTCTTTGTATGTAGATTGAGACATGTCAGTAAATAGACCCAGTTTAGAAACTTACAATTTGTAGTGTGTCTGATTATTATGTTGATCAGTGACAATACAATAAGATATCATTTCAACCAAACATTCACCATAAAAAAAAAAGCGATAACAAACTATTGTACTGAATAATCTACATTTGTTTATAATTCAGAGTTACTAAAAACTGCACAGAACTGTCATGTTTAACTTGCCTTTATTTTAGACTTTCACCTGCCATAAATAAATATCAGGAAAACATAAAATAGAAATGCTAATGAAAATGTCTCAATTCTTCAACTATATAAACCACAAAATTGTAAACACAGTTACAAAAGACTTGGTGAATATTAATTATTTGAAGTTAAATTTGTGTACAATAGTGTTGATGTACAGAGATGAGCCACAGAGCAGCTGACACATTTCGTCTAGATATGCATTCTTGGTTGCACAAGACACAATTTCCAGGGATTAGGATTCTTGATGAACATATGTTTACATCATTATATATACTATAGATAAAGATACTTGTTGCTTGTCAATTCAGGATGAATCACCTTGAGCGGAATAATGGCCATTTTAATCCTAAACAAGCAGCCTCTCCGCTGTTAGCAATGCACATTTCAATTAAAGAACAGAAGATATCATTATAAAATGAACAATATGCATAGTATCAATGTAATGGGACTTGCTGTTTTCAACAAGAATTCAAAAATATCATTTTTCACCATAAATGATTGTGGTTTTTAACAAGTAGAAAATATCACTTTTTACCAAAAATATTCACCAAAATTAGAAATATCATCATGAAATGAACAACATGTGGACCAATATATGTAATATCAAAGCAATTGGACTTGCGGTTTTTAACAAGAAGTCGACAATATCACTTTTTACCAAAAATGACAAAAATATTCACCAAAATTAGAGAATTAAAGATATCATTACAAAATGAACAAATCTGAGAGAGGTCTACATGTAGTACCTACATATGTAATATCAAAGCAATCGAAAATATCACTTTTTACCAAAAATGACAAAAATATTCACCAAAATTAGAGAATTGAAGATATGATCATGAAATGAACAAATCTG